TACTTGAGAAACTAAGCATCAGCACTGACTCTTCTCCCACACTTCCACGCTCTCCTAGCTGATATGCTATGTTTAATCAGGCTACAGTATAAAGCTATCAGATGGAATGGCTGCCATAATGGGATGGTATTGAGGGAGGGAGGGAGGGAGGGAGGGAGGGAGGGAGGGAGGGAGGGAGGGAGGGAGGGAGAAAAGGAAAGAAAAGAGAAAAGAAAAGAAAGAAAAGAGAAACCCTAAGCTATTAAGGAGGTGAACAGCAAGTCAATGTCTTACGTTACGTCCTGGTTTGTGGATAACTGAAAGGCTCAAATTCTGCCTTATTCTCTAAGAAGATAATGACCACAGGCCCAACCACAGAAGAAATTCAAGTCTTAGCCCCATGCTCTTCTCTTTCTAAACTGCAGTCACCTGTAATGATCTCAAATAAAGTATTCTATAACCCACTAATCTAAAATAATCACTAAAGAAATCCATTCATCCCACCTGAATGGTCACTACAGACTGCCCACACCTGTGGACTAGTGAACCATCAAAAGAAGAGGAAACCACGCGTGAAATTCACTTCGAATCCACATGCTGAGCACTAAGTCTTCCTTAGAACAAACAGCACCGCGGCTTTTCACTCTCACCAAGGCCACCACCATTTTGGTTAATGCCTGGGTGTTAGTCTGCAGAGGGTTCGCTAACACGCACAGGCCTGTCCTACCTGATGTGTTTACGTCTTCAGTGCAGAGGACAGTCACATGTGTGGTGCACATGTGTACAGATATTCACGGGATAGGCAATTCCAAGTGGACACAGCACTCAAGATTCAAACAAGCTTTAGAAGAGCCATGCTTTTTTATGTTTTTACGTGTAACCTACGAACTGTCCACCTGCAGGAAGATGGCCCCAACTCAGCCAAAGCTGCAGGCTTTAAGGTGTGAGATGGAGCTGGAAGCACCAAGGGGTCTGGTGAGGGGAGTACCGTGTTAACAGAGCCCACAGGCTCACAAGTTCTTCGTCACAGTTCCCACAGAAGCAGTGTGACCCTCTAGAAACTGCAGCAGGTCAAGGGAGACTTGCTGAACGTCTCTGATGAGAAGTCACTCTGCTCATTACTGCACTGCAGAAACTGACCGATGCTGTGAGACTCCGTGAGAACGCTGCTGAGGCTGACAGACAGCTGTCTGGCCTTGATGACAGCATCTGAACATAAAGTGCAAGACAAGCTGGCTTCTCCCCACCCACACCCCTTCTCTTGGATGAACCTCATCCATGTTCATCCGCCACTGGAGCTCAGTCCGTCCACACACAGCCCTCCCCGCTCTAAAGGGAGCCGAGGATGCAAGCATACGTCAGAAAAGGAAAACAACCGCAAATGATAGAAGATCAGGGCTTGGGGCCAAAGGGAAGGACCACTTTTTCTTTTTCACGATGTGTGATATCCAGAAATACACTGAAATTTCCACCAGAAGAGAGTGGGGGAAGCTCCCCCAGTCGGCCTCCAGCTAAGAGACACAATGCAATCACACCAAGGAACACAGGCCTGCCATCTTACAAGTGGGGCCATTACAACCAGCACTCTGAATGACCCCATGCAGTGGGGTTGACCTCTGTGTGCCTCGTTTTCCTCATTTGTGAATCCGATGACAGGGCAGTCGCTGTAAGTTTAAAGAGAGAAGAGGAGGAGGAAGAGGAGGAGGGGGGGGAGGAGGAGGAGGAGGGGGAGGGGGAGGAAGAGGAAGAGGGGGAAGAGGAGGAGGAGGAAGAGGAGGAGGAGGGGGAAGAGGAGGAGGAGGAAGAGGAGGAGGAGGGGGAAGAGGAGGAGGAAGAGGGGGAAGAGGAGGAGGAGGGGGAAGAGGAGGAGGAGGAAGAGGAGGAGGAGGGGGAAGAGGAGGAGGAGGAAGAGGAGGAGGAGGGGGAAGAGGAGGAGGAAGAGGGGGAAGAGGAGGAGGAGGGGGAAGAGGAGGAGGAGGAAGAGGAGGAGGAGGGGGGAAGAGGAGGAGGAAGAGGGGGAAGAGGAGGAGGAAGAGGAGGAGGGGGAGGAGGAGGAAGAGGGGGAAGAGGGGGAGGAAGAGGAGGAGGGGGAGGAGGGGGAAGAGGAGGAAGAGGGGGAGGAGGAGGAAGAGGGGGAGGGGGAGGAGGAGGAAGAGGAGGAAGAGGGGGAGGAGGAGGAAGAGGAAGAGGGGGAGGAAGAGGGGGAAGAAGAGGAGGAGGAGGGGGAGGAGGAGGAGGAGGAGGAAGAGGGGGAGGAGGAGGAAGAAGGGAAGGGGGAGGAAGAGGAAGAGGAGGAGGAGGAAGAGGGGGAGGAGGAGGAAGAGGAGGAGGAGGAGGAAGAGGGGGAGGAAGAGGAAGAGGGGGAAGAGGAGGAGGAGGAGGAAGAGGGGGAGGAAGAGGAAGAGGGGGAAGAGGAGGAGGAGGAGGAAGAGGGGGAGGAGGAGGAGGAAGAGGGGGAGGGGGAGGAAGAGGAGGAGGGGGGAAGAGGAGGAGGAGGAAGAGGGGGAGGGGGAGGAAGAGGAGGAGGAGGAGGAAGAGGGGGAGGGGGAGGAGGAGGAGGAGGAGGAAGAGGGGGAGGGGGAGGAGGAGGAGGAGGGGGAGGAGGAGGAGGAGGAGGAAGAGGGGGAAGAGGAGGAGGAGGAGGGGGAGGAGGAGGAGGAGGAGGAGGAAGAGGGGGAAGAGGAGGAGGAGGAGGAAGAGGGGGAGGAAGAGGAAGAGGGGGAAGAGGAGGAGGAGGAGGAAGAGGAGGAGGAGGAAGAGGGGGAAGAGGAGGAGGAGGAGGGGGAGGAGGAGGGGGAGGAGGAGGGGGAGGAAGAGGGGGAAGAGGAGGAGGAGGAGGAAGAGGGGGAGGAAGAGGAAGAGGGGGAAGAGGAGGAGGAGGAGGAAGAAGAGGAGGAGGAAGAGGGGGAAGAGGAGGAGGAGGGGGAGGAGGAGGGGGAGGAGGAGGAGGAAGAGGGGGAAGAGGAGGAGGAGGAAGAGGGGGAGGAAGAGGAAGAGGGGGAAGAGGAGGAGGAGGAGGGGGGAGGAGGAGGGGGAGGAAGAGGGGGAAGAGGAGGAGGAGGAGGAGGAAGAGGAGGAGGAGGAAGAGGGGGAAGAGGAGGAGGAGGGGGAGGAGGAGGGGGAGGAGGAGGGGGAGGAGGAGGAGGAGGAAGAGGGGGAAGAGGAGGAGGAGGAGGAAGAGGGGGAAGAGGAGGAGGAGGAAGAGGGGGAGGAGGGGGAGGAGGAGGAAGAAGGGGGGAGGAGGAGGATGAGGGGGAGGAGACTGACCAAAAGCATTGAGCCCGCACAGAAAACCTTTGAAGAAGAGTCCAGTTCCATCTTCTCCCCTAAGACAGAAATGATGGCACAGAGTATACATAATAACCAATTTCCCTCCCTTCCCCAATGGACCAACCAAAACAGAAACCAGTTCTAACCTAAACTCTATACTTACAGTGTTTATTGTGTGCTTCTGAACTAATGGACATATTTCTAACATCTCTCTCCAGCTAAGAACTCCAAGGTTCTGTGACTGAAGATCCAGGGCAGCACTAGTTACAAGCATTCATGTGTCCCAGAAAGGCTGCTCACAAAGTAGCCTGTAGCTATACAGCTGAAAAGCTCACCACAGCTCTAATGAAATAACTTGGTAATTAGGTTTTAACGGCCTCCTTTACCTACTAAAAATATCTGCTCCAGGAGTCCAAATACAATATTTTCTTCAGCATCATATCCCCAGAGCTTGGAAAAAGCTTTGCAACAAATGTGAACATTTGTGAAAAGAATGAATGAATGAATGAATGAATGAATGAATGAATGTTCTTTGCAAACTTAAAGGCAGAGTGTCCTAAATTTAGCAACCCTTCCTAATTAAATTCAAGTTGCTGCACTTAGGTATGACAAAATGTTTAAAAATAAAAACAGCAGATGTTTGATCTCTAGGTGGCAGGGATTTTTTCTTTTTTAAAAAATCCTTCATTTATTTTTACTCTGCAGGAAATCAACCAAATCTGGCACCCAAAAAGCTCATATATTATGTCAGGCTAAGTTAAGCATATTACATGTACAAAAGCCAGTTGGTGTTTAAAAGTATTTTGACTACCAGCCTCTGAATAGATCACTTCTAAAAGTCACTTTAATGTGGTTTTAAGATAGAGGGAGGAGATCGATGGCCAACCGATATGAATCAGTTCACAAAGACCAACAAGAACATGTGGGGGTCACAGGAGGAATCCAAAACCAACTTCAATACTAACCGAACACTCAGGGTGCATTTATCAACCCAGAAAAGAAACGCTGTAGCCTCTGGTGAATTCCAGAGGGGAAAAGCGGGGCACAATGACTCAGGACAGATGTTCTGAGTTCAGGATCTGTGTGTGTGTGTGTGTGTGTGTGTGTGTGTGTGTGTGTGTGTGTGTGTGTACACACACGAGAGATTCCAATGCACAACTTGAAAAGGTCATGAAGCAGAGATCACATTCACTATGATCTGCTACAGAGACTGGCTGAAGCCAACACCACCAGTGGGAGGTCAAGGTCTAGGGTAAGCGACACAGGCTATTTCTGAAGGAATATCACTTTACTCATCTTTAAGGTCTGAATTACCATAACAAGACAAAACAAAATGCTAGGAAGAAGGCAGCAGAGAACCTAAGACAAAACACAGTGAGCCTCCTCCTGCTGCCATTGTTCCGCTGTGGAAGTCTTGGGGAGCCCCAGGGCACACCTTGCAGTAATCAGTCAGCCAGCCAGGGCATTAAGGAAGACCACAGCCTCTGCGGCAGGCAGGCAGGCGCATAGACAGAGACATGCTGCTTTCTGCATTTCCAGCACTCACCCTCGGGAAGATTCAAAAAAGGGAGGGGGCGTGGGAAGCCCTGCCAAGGCTGACAGGAAGCTGCTAAGAGGACAATGTCATCAATGAAACCTGCAGGTCTCTTGTGAAACTGAACGCTTTAATTTTTTCCCCCAAAGCTTTCCTTAAATAAATGCTCCCAGACTTAAAGACATCCCCCTGGAACTGCTGAACAAACACAACATACTCACGGGCTCACAGCAGCTGTAACTTCAGAGGAAAGAACAGGGTTCCACTATGAAGCCGTCCGTCTTTCCCTCTCTTCTACCAGATCTTTTTAAAAGCCAACTAAAGAAAGAGCCATTCCTCAATATAAAAACCAACAGAAACCTTCAACTTGTGGCTCGTTCCCTGGTCTCCAAAGAGACGTTCAATTGCCAGAGCCCGGCAGAGAAGTAAGGAGGCATCTGACAGCCCCGGAGCCCTGCAGGGCTGAATTTAAGACCTGTCAGTTACAGTGGCAGCTATACTCATGGCTGTGGCTGTGGCGGCTGCTTCCGCAGGAAGGGATGCTGGGAGATTTTTTCCCCAATCTCTGCCGCAGCGTAGTCCTAATCCATCACTGTTTAATTATATCCTAGTGAAGCAGGCAAGATAGGTACAGACGGACCAGTTTATACAAACCACAGGACCTTCCGATGATTTCTCACCTAACCTAGGCATTTCTCTATCTCTCGAGGGATAGCATGGATTACTTTCTTATTTTAAGAAAAAAGTAAGGACAGGCTGTTATTCCCGGATATGACTTTCATTTCATATCCATGGACTCTCTTAAAACCCACTTTTAAGGAACACTGAAGAAGGGAAAATCAGTTTCTCTAGAGTTTTCAGTCTGGCAGGTTACTTCAGTGACAAATCCGTACCATATAATAGTCATATCGAGGTTGTTGGAAAGGCTAATTTCCAACTGCCATTTGATAAATAGTATTTCAAGTGGGTTTGGGTTTGGAGTTGTGTTTTTTGGTTGCAGTTTTATTTTTGTGTTTTGATTGTTGAGACGGCTATAAGACACTAGACTATATGAGACACTGTGGGGGGGGGGGTTATTACGAAGTAAAAGAAGCTGGTATCTCCAGATTGAAAGTAACTAGGAAATGAAGAAAAATAAAACCACACACAATCCCATAACCCAGAGAAAATCAATGCCAATATTTTTTTAACCATTTACTTAGAATATTTTTCTCCTTCCTATGTCATATGGATGGGACTTAACAATTATGTATGTTTTTTTCTTTAATAATATTGCTTTCCAAGCTATGTATTATCTTCGTGTTGCATGACTTTTCCTGGGATGATGTGAATAAATGTCTACTCATCCCAGATAAATAAAAGGACAGAACAAAAAAATAATTCCAACCAAGTCTTGCTTGAAATGAGTTCCCTGGGGTCACTTACAGGAGAAGACTCCAGGGCAGTGCTCCCTCATAGCTCTCCCCAGTGTGGGTGAAAACTCAGGAGAGACAGTATCTAGCACTTCCTGCCCATCCTGTAGGCATCTCTTCCGAAGATGCTCTCCTCTTCCTCCAGCAACTGTTCTTTGCTCATACAACTTTATTGGGGAGCTTGGGGAATCTCCAGCCTTCCATGACTGGTGCTCAGAATCAGCTTTCTGTATCTTATCAGTTCCTTTCTCCCTCGATACACAATTCTCTTCATAAAAAGTATGATTATTTGCCCATATATGTGACCTATGGTTAACCACCTACATTTCTTTTTAAAAACAAAAAACAAAAACAAAAAAAAACATTTATTTGTTATTTGTTGGAGATGAAGAATATAAGTGCCACAGAGGACATGTGGGGGTCAGAGACCAACCTGCAAGAGTTAGTTCTCTCCTTACACAATGTGGGTCTGGGATTGAACTCAAGGTTGTTGTGCTTGGCAGCAAGCACCTTTATCCACTGAGCCATCTTGCTGGCCCAACCACCCAGATTTCTAATAGTGCTCACAAGTGTCAGTGCACATAATGGCAGTTAATATATTTGTGTGCTTACTATGTGCTATATGGTGTGGTGAGCAGAGCAGACACAATTGCTGCTCTCCTGGAGTCCCATGCAACAGAGAAGCTAGATATCACCAGATGTGACCAATACTGCACTACCAAAAAGAACTGCAAACACCCAAGAGCACACAAGACCTGCTCTTGTGAAGGTTTGCATTGGGGGATATAGCAATCCAACTGCAAATTCCAAGTACAGTAATTCACAACTTCACTTTTCATCATAATTAATATCTCTCAGCTAATCTTTTTCCTACACAAAAACTTAAATGCAGATTTCAACTATATTTTGTGACTGTAATGTATATGAGAATAATCGATAAAATGTGTATAGATTCTTATACATTTAATCAATTAGAATGTATTAATTAAGAAAGGACAAGAGCCGGGCGGTGGTGGCGCACGCCTTTAATCCCAGCACTCGGGAGGCAGAGCCAGGCGGATCTCTGTGAGTTCGAGGCCAGCCTGGGCTACCAAGTGAGTCCCAGGAAAGGCGCAAAGCTACACAGAGAAACCCTGTCTCGAAAAAACCAAAAAAAAAAAAAAGAAAAAAAAAAGAAAGGACAAGAGGTAGGCTATGTACATAATGCCAGGGATCTTTTAAGCAGCCAGAGACTACAGGTTCCTAAGCATCCCCAACTCAACTGACCTGCTCAAAAGCTGAGGAAGGCTAAAGACTCCCTAAGAATGTTGGAAGAGGTGACACCTTAAATGAAGTTTTCATGGCTGTGTGTGTGTGTGTGTGTGTGTGTGTGAGAGAGAGAGAGAGAGAGAGAGAGAGAGAGAGAGAGAGACAGACAGACAGACAGACAGACAGACACAGAGAGACAGAGACAGACAGACAGACAGACTAGAAATCAACCCTAGAGCCCTGCACATGCATGCCTGGTAAGCTCTCTACCACTGAGACAGAACCCCAGCCTTTCAGACTTCAACCTTCTTTTAAACGGTCTTCTCTTTCCTCATAAGGGTCACAAGTGTCATTCTTTTTCCCACTGGTGCCCTGCTTAAAACACACTTCTCTCCCCACTGAATACAGAAGTGTTTGCCTCTGTTTGCTCTAAGGTTTAGTGTTACAAGCTACCCATCCCACATGTGTGTCTGCACCCCTCCCCCCCCCCCAGTGCTGACACTGAGACTTGGTTGGAGGAGGATGTCAAAGGATGTGGTGCTGTGAAGGAGAACATCCCCCACAGGCTCAGGTATCTAAAGAGCTGGTCCCCAGTTGGTGGCGCTGTTTGGGGAGATCAGGAGCCTTGCTGAAGGCAGTAGGTGGCTGGGGTGGGCTCAGAGTCTGCAGGCTCCCCCCACTGGCAGTTTTCTCTCGTGTCTGCATGTGTTTGAAGATGTACCAGCCAGCGTCCTGCTCCAGTTGTCTTGCCTTTTACACCATTACGGACTTCCCGTAGGAAGCGTAAACCAAAATAAACTCTTCCATCAGTTGCCTTGGTATGTATGTCGTCATAGCAAAAGGCACCTAAGGGAGACTAAAGACTTTCTAGAACTTTCATTCATACACAACCAGTCAAGTCTGTCCCCAAACTAGCTTAATGCCCTATGATGTAGAGGATGTGCTCAAGAGATGTCTGTTAAGCCTAATGTCCTGTAATTTCATAAAACTAGTAATAGAAGAAAAGGTGGAGGAGGAGGAGGAGGAGGAGGAGGAGGAGGAGGAGGAGGAGGAGGAGGAAGGGGAGCAGCAGCAGCAGGAAGGAGAGAAGGAGGAGGAAGGGGAGGAGGAGGAGGAAGAGGAGGAGGAGCAGGAGGAGGAGCAGGAGGAGGAGCAGGAGGAAGAGGAGCAGGAGCAGGAGGAGGAGCAGGAGGAGGAGCAGGAGGAAGAGGAGGAGGAGCAGGAGGAGGAGCAGGAGGAGGAGCAGGAGGAGGAGGAGGAGGAGCAGGAGGAGGAGCAGGAGGAACAGGAGGAGGAGCAGGAGGAGGAGGAACAGGAGGAGGAGCAGGAAGAGGAGCAGGAGGAGGAGCAGGAGGAGGAGGAACAGGAGGAACAGGAGGAGGAGCAGGAGGAGGAGCAGGAGGAGGAAGAACAGGAGGAACAGGAGGAGGAGCAGGAGGAGGAGCAGGAGGAGGAGCAGGAGGAGGAGCAGGAGGAGGAGCAGGAGGAGGAGCAGGAGGAGGAGCAGGAGGAAGAGGAGGAGGAGGAGCAGGGAGAGGAAGGGGAGGAGGCAGAAGTACCACCACCATGCAAAGCAGGTAGATCTCAGAAATGGAAAAATATGTAAAATTACATTTTTTCTCTTATTTGATAAATTTAGGAGAATTATTTTTTTATGAAAACTTTTTTTTTTAATTTTAGAGCCATTATGGGGCTTCAAGAAAATAAGCAAAATGTCTCACATCTTGGGTGGTATAATCGTTGTATAAAAACAGCAATGCTTTCTTAATATATATTGCATGTTGATTGGTACTTATCTGTGAAGCTTTTTTTATACCTAAGTTAACAAAATACTTTCAAATCAATTATTTCGTAGGTTAAAGATATGTTTTACAAGCCAGGTGGTGGTGGCACACGCCTTTAATCTCAGCATTCTGGAGGCAGAGGCAGGTGGATCTCAGAGTTCGAGGCTAGCCTGGTCTACAGAGCAAGTTCCAGAACAATTAGGAATACAAAGAGAAACCCTGTCTTGAAAAACCAAATTCCAGCACTCACATGGCAATGGCAGCTCACAACTGTCTGTAACTCCAGTTCCAGGGGATCTGGCTGGCACCCTCGCATAGACATACATGCAGACAAAAACATCAATGCACATAAAAATAAATAAATCTTTAAAAAAAAAGACAAGGTTTCTCTCTGTAACAGCCCTGGCTGTTCTGGAACTCACTATGTAGATCAGGCTGGCCTTGAACTCCTAGAGATCCACCTGCCTCTGCCTCCCAAGTGCTGGGATTAAAGATGTGCAATACCACCATCTGGCTATAGTTATTTGATGGGTGATGTCATTCTGTATGCTGTGAAAATATGTTGCTCTGATTGGTTGATAAATAAAGCTGTTTGGCCAATGGTGAGGCAGAATAAGGTTAGGCGGGACATTCCAACTAGAGAGAGAAGAAGGAGAAAGACAGAGCAGGGGAGATGCTGCCAGCCACTGCCAGAAGAAGCAAGACGTAGAGGTACCAGTAAGTCACGAGCCATGTGACAAAGTATAGATTTATAGAAATGGATTAATTTAAGATATAAGAACTAGATAACAAGAAGTCTGCCATGGCCATAGTTTAAAAATAATATTAGCCTATGTATGTTTATTTGGGTCCGAGCGGCTGCGGGACTGTTGGGTGAGAGAGATTTGTCCTGACCATGGGGCCAGGCGGGACACAGGAAAAAGTTCAGCCACGCTTGTTTATTTTATGTATATGTGTGTTTTGCCTGCATGCATATGCATATCCCCTAGAACTGGAGTTACAGACAACTGTGAGCTGCCATGTGGGTGCTGAGAACTGAACCCAGGTCCTCTAGAGGAGCAGCCAGTGCTCTTAACTGCTGAGC